AAAAAAAATTGTTAAATCCGAATCCGTTCGCTACTTGTCTCGTAAAAAGGTGGAAAACGCACCTTGAGCTGTTGTGTGTTAGCTAGGCAATGGCTTTCCCATCGAGCGAATCGCAATCGGTGGGGTACAGTGTCATGGATAAGGGCGCGAACACAGCAAACGTCTCAGTTCGTTACTATTTTCCTGATGCGTGACATGCAGAGAGTCTCGTCCGTGACAAAAAAAAATACACATACTCAGAAATCAACGCATTTCTGACGATCGTTCAGATCCACGATCCGAACTTCCTCACATGCAAAATCCAAAATACGAACCTAAAAAATCGACGAAACCGCGAACCGTTGCAATTTCAGGATCCGCAAATCCGTTAAAATTTTGCTCTAAATCCGAAATCCAGGCAAAATAATTTTCCCAGAGTCCGCCAATCCGTTAGCCTATTAACTCCCCTCTTTAAACCTTGAAAGAGAAAAAGGGCAGACTAAAGGTGGTTTGCAACCAATCTCTAGAGACACATTTAACAATGGTGAAAGGAACAAATACTGGTGGACGAACAAAAGAAGTTAATGAGATATCTATTGTTTGCGTCCACCAACATGGCGGCGATGACGTAACGCGAAAACCACCTATTAGACTTCTTTGTATCCGTTTTTCAGAATGTCACGCAACGCTGCGCTGCCCCTACCGCGGCGGACTTTTGCGCGACAACATGGGTCCGTCCTGGTTCAAGTGGTACCATTGATTCGCCTGGAATAATTGTTTTCCATCCTCTCAGTTTCCGCTCTGAATAAAGCGATAGTGCTTACCCTTCACCCCACAAATTTAGAAGTAGCCTCTTCCTAAGTGTAATAATAAAACCTACTACTTACTGGTTGAAAATTGGGGCCTTTTTACATGGAGGTGAAGAACTGCCCAAGTGGGTGAAGTATTTTCATACAATCTAACAACCCCAGGTTGCTGGGGTGTAGTTTCTCGAGGTTGTTATTGCGCTTGCAGTAGGGAATTTAGGCATCCCAAGCTCACGTCTCGACAGAGACGAAAGACCAATTCTCGAACACGTATTTATTTATTCATGAAAGCGCCTCGCGTTGTGTTATTCGGTATAAGGTTATACGAGGAACCGTTCACAATTTGAACCCGTTAATACGTTTTAAAGAATGGTATGGGAAACGAAATTTGGTCCATCTACGACGCTATGTATACCGAAATGTGAACATTTTACACTCCTTGTGCATCCGTTGCGGTTTCTGGTGATCTCTGCCGTGTTGGGCTTGCTTTACCATCATGCATCACTGTCATTCCTATCATAGTCCGTCTTATGAGATGAAATTTATTTTCCCCTCAGATTTTCGCCAATACATTGAGTTCAAAGTAAAAAATGTGAGTAAATTGCTTCCGAGGTTTCATTGTTAAAAGGACGTGACAGTTGATGTTTTAACGCTTTAAGCTCTGTATGGAAGTACAAAGTTTTAAAACACACGTGTTTTGGTTTTGAGCTTTTTACCATGCACGTGACCCCGTATGGGCGGGTTGCCACACTTAAAGACATCTACTTCGGCAAATTGGTACCCCGGCAGACTGGGTAACCCTACCCTAAAGACCGAGCAACCCGCCTAGGCAGGTCACCCCATCATGTAAACGTGACCAAGATAAAATCAAAACTTATATGGACAGGGGGGTTACCCCACCTAAGCGGGTTACCTTACCTGGGATCTCCCACCTCCATGATACAGGGCCGACAGGAGCCCATTGGCTCCTGGGCCCGACAAGAATGAATTTTGAAGGCATTCTGCACCTTTAAGTTTTGCCTATGCCAGTGAAACTCGAGCAGCTAATAAAGCTTGTACAAACTATGTGTTCTTACAGCGCTTAGAGGACTTCTCGTATTTTCTCGAATGAAAACGTAACGCTACGAATGAGAAGGTCACGAAAAGAACTTTCAAGGTCAACTGCTTTGAAACGATTGCTTGCTGTGCTTTTTGATAAAACGGATTTTGCACAACACTGAATGCGGAAACTTTAAGATCATCGCCGGATTCTCAATACCAGTTCTAAGCAGAGAACAAGAAGAGGTTTTATGAATTCAACGTTTCAATTTACAGACTGATCTTTATTAATCAGTTTCTTTAAGTCCTTTACGTTACTCGATGCCTTCTTTTATCCATCATGGCTTTGGTCCGTCACTGTTTTTTCGCAATTCTTTTTTATGTGTATCCGCACATTTCACCAATTTTCTTGATATTTTTTAGCTGCTATCTATTTTGGTAATGTGCCATTCATTTATTCTAGAAAACCGCAATTTCCTTCCTTCCAGAAATCTCTGGCAAACGAGTAGAGAAAAATTACAAAACTCCTGTCAATAAACAATTCCACTTAAGGTTACGCCTACGAAACGCCCGTGTATAATAAGTAATTTGTGAATATTTTTACCGCGATCCACTCACATGTGACTCACGGTTTGGCGTTTGGACTCTAATAACTGCTGCCCCACGCGTGAGGACGAGTCTTTACTTACAAAGCCTCGCAAGAGGACATGAAACAGAGACTTGGGAATATTTTTTTTTCATCGCTGTAAGAATGGACTATCGCCAGGGAAAATTATCTTACGAAGAATGTTTCGCAGATGACGAATCTGACTGTGGAGTGCGCTTAGTCAGCCGTGGAAGGAAACACAATCAACGGCTACTGGGACGAAGTTATCCCATTACTTCACACTCTACAGAAGAGAACGAATGTGTTTTTGACTCAGAATGGGCTCTTAAGAGAAGATGTAGCCTTTCTTCGCTTATTTACTCCAAATTTCTCACGAGATTGGATGACAGAACGAAGAATATTCAAAGATAAAGCTGTTTGGCCCGTTGACGGCTTGGTAATAATTTAAGCGATGATGCAGATACCCGTAATGCTTGTGCCTGATATCCTGCCAACTTAAAGAATCACATGTTTATACATGAAAGAGCGCAAGCTTGAGAATTTGTACGCTACTCAGTCGCATCAGTGGACTGGTGAATTGGTACAAATCGATCCCCTCAATTTTTAATAGGTGATTTGCTGCGAGGTATACGATGGTGTTATATTACTAAACATGAAGAGTGAAGGATCAAGGATATAATGCAGGCATGTAGCCAAGTCATGTTCTGTTGTTCTGTGACGGTGATTTGTGGATAGCCAGGTTTTAGGAACGCTTTAAACGCGGTTTTGGGAAGATGATTCTTGTTTCCTAGCTAGACGACTGCCCTAACTGGAATATTTTTATGTTAAGTATCAAGAAATCGTAATGACCATACACTGATACAGCACAGAGACAATCAAGTGATAACAGTGGAAGTTTTATTTGGAAAAAATATATATATTTAACAGTTATTCCACGAGCGCGCGTTGGATATGAGATGATAGATAGCCAACGAGGGGCGTAGCGTCGAGTTAAAAACGTTAAATCAAATTATTAAATTTTATTAAATTTTTCAGCTCCCTTTTAATTTTAAGCTGACGCGTACGCTTACCATATTCGTAGATTATGGTATATTGGCTCATATACCATAATGGCTATAATCATCTCATATCCAACAAGCGATCGTGGAATAATTGTTTTATTAAAAACGTTAAATCAAATTATTAAATTTTATTAAATTTTTCAGCTCCCTTTTAATTTTAAGCTGACGCGTACGCTTACCATATTTGTAGATTATGGTATATTGGCTCATCTTCCATAATGGCTAAGCCAATATGAAGTTTTGAATTGCATTATCCAATGATCCAGTTTTTAATAAATATATATATATATATAACTAACTGCAGACAGTACTGTTTCGGCCTTCTGGGCCTCATCAGTGCAGTGCTAATGCTAGGATGGGGGAGAACCGAGACGGTCACCCCAAACGACCCA